TCATATACCAAACAGCTCCCCAGATGAAAAGATTCTTCATAATCCAACAGCCCCCCAAATCAATAGCCTCTATGTAGACCCAACTGCCCCCCAAGCCAACAGCCTCTTCATACACCCAACAGCTCCCCAATCCAACAGCACCTTCTGGGACCCAACCATCCTCAAATCAACAGCCTCTTCATACAACAAACAGCTCCCCAAACCAGCAGCAACTTCAGCGACCCACACATCAAATCCACAGCCTCTTCATAAAAACAGCTCCCCAAACCAATAGCCTCTTCATACACCCAACAGCTGCCAAACCAACAACCTCTACATAGACCCAACAGCTCCCTAAACCAACAGCCTCTTCATACACCAAACAGCTCCCCAAACCAACAGCACCTTCAGGGGCACAAACATCCTCAAATCCTCTTTATAAATAAAACATCTCCCCAAATCAACATTCTTCATAACCCAACCACTCCCCAAATGAACAGCCTCTACATAGACCAAACAACCCCCATAGACCAAACAGCCCCCCAAATCAACAGCCTCTATATATACCCAACAGCCCCCCCCAAACCAACAGCCTCTTCATACACCAAACAGCTCCCCAAGTGAACAGACTCTTCATATACCCAGTCACCCCCAAAACCAACAGCCTCTTCATACACCAAACACCTCCCCAAACCAATAGCACCTTCAAGGAACCAAACATCCTCAAATCCACAGCCTCTTCATAAATAAAACAGCTCCCCAAATCAACACTCTTCATACACCCAATCACCCCGCAAATCAACAGCCTCTACCTACACCCAACAGCCCCCAAACCAACAGCCTCTTCATACACCCAACAGCTCCCCAAACCAACAGCACCTTCAGGTTCCCAACCATCCTCAAATCTACAGCCTCTTCATAAATAAAACAGCTCCCCAAATCATCACTCTTCATAACCCAACCACACCCCAAATCAACCTCTACATAGACCCAACCGCCCCGCAAACCAACAGCCTCCACATACACCCAACAGCCCCCCAAACCAACAGCACCTTCAGGTTCCCAACCATCCTCAAAACCACAGCCCCTTCATAAATAAAACAGCTCCCCAAATCATCACTCTTCATAACCCAACCACACCCCAAATCAACATCCTCTACATAGACCCAACCGCCCCGCAAACCAACAGCCTCTACATAGGCCCAACAGAACCCCCAAACCAACAGCCTCTTCATACACCAAACAGCTCCCCAAGCCAACAGCACCTTCAGGTTCCCAACCATCCTCAAACCAACACCTTCAGGGACCTAAACATGCTCAAATCCACAGCCTCTTCATAAATAAAACAGC